CGCAGGGGCTGGGTCCTCGCAGTCTTTCCTTTCCCAGCAGCTGGAAGCTGCGTGGCCCATCGCACTGAGCGCCCATCACGCCCGGTGCCTGGGGTAGGTGCGGTGCGGGTGCCCCGGGCTGACCCGCTGCCCTCCCGCAGGATCTCCTACTGCACCACGGACAAGCTGCAGAACAAGGTGTTCGCCTACGTGGCGCAGAGCCAGCAGAGCAGGGCGCTGGAGTGCCATGCCTTCCTCTCCCCCAAGAAGAAGATCGTAAGCACCGGCCTGCCTGACCTGAGCCAGCCGGGTCTGTGACCACCTGCGTGACCCCTGCCTCCAGCACTGTCCTGGCCCCGCTGTCTGCTGCCCTCCCAGGACTCTACCGCGTCCTCAGCAGCAGCCTCTGCCCCGCACAGCTCAGCCAGCTGCGAGTCCTCCCGCCCCACCTCTCAGCCAGGGACAGGGCCCGGGCTGGCTTCACCCAGAGCCCCCCAGTTGCAGCATGCACCCCTGGAGCTGGCCCCGTAGAAACAACAGGGGTAACAGCAGCGTCAAGTGCCTGCACGCCCCTGGGAGAGGGGCAGCAGGGGTCTCCGTCCCAGGACTCCTGGGTTCCATGCTCTCCACCTTGGGACCCTCTGGAGCCCCCCTGAATTCACCATGTTGCTCTACGAGTCTCCTGGGGCCCTGCTTTCCCTTCCCCCATGGCAGCCGTGTGGGGGAGGGCGCTGGGGTGCAGTCAGAGGAGTGTGGGCATGGACAGGTGTGGGGCCGCAGGGGACTGGCGGGTTTGGGGCTCTCGTTGCAGAGCTGCTGGCTGGCCCCTGGGCAGGGAGCCTTCCAGGCAGGGTCCAGGCCAGGCAGGTGCAGAGGCCTGGGGTGCTTGGCTGGGAGGGCAGGGAGGGCTGCCAGCCTCGTTCTGCTCTCGGCGCTCCCCCACAGGCCCAGGCTGTGACGCTGACCGTGGCTCAGGCCTTCCAGGTGGCGCTGGACCTCTGGGAAGCAGCACGTGCAGGTAGGAGGCGGCTCTGCCCCCATGCTCTGCGGAGGCCCCTGGACCCACATGAGACCCAACCCCTGGCTGTCCCCCCCCAGCCTGTGGTAGCACCCCAAGGAGCCAGTTTGGAGGTGCTGGTCCCTTTCCCCTTCCCGCCCTCCCAACGCTTGGGCTCTAACTGCTGCTTTTGCCCTGTTTTAGGCTCCAGGCAGGAGCAGCCCCTTCGCCCTTCCTGTGCCTTGGAGAGCAGTGAGCCAGGCAGCACAAGGGCACTGGCCCCCATGGGGAGCACCCCCCTCCAGCACCTCGGGGTACAGTATGGGCAGAGCCAGGCCTTGTCCCAGAGCTGTTTCGCACCCTGCCAGGAGCCGTGTGGCTAAGGGCTCATAGAGTCACCGACTCCCAGACCCGTGCAGCTGACAGGGAGCTCATATCCAGTCCAGCCTCCTGCCTGGAGAAGGATCAGCCCAGACAAACCCTGTGTCCAACCTCGGAGCCACACAACAGTTGCCCCTGACAGCCCCACGCATCACCCCCATCCCTGGGAAAGCCTGCTGCTTCCAGGGGGAGTCATGGGCACTGCAGAGAGCCCAGGCCGAGGCTGTGCCCCTGCTGCAGGGGAAGGCAAAACCCCCCAGTCTGCACCAGTCTGAGCAGGGGGCAAAGCAGCATCAGGCTGAGCCTGAGCACAGGGGCAAGACCCTCTAGCCAGGATCCTATGGGGTTAGTGCCAGCAGGAGCATTGGTACAGCCTAGTCCCCATCCCCAGCCTGGGCTGCAGCAACACCAGTGCCTCTGGGGGAGGCTTCAAACCCCCTGACACATGGAGCAGAAGGGGGCGGGGTTGGCACCTCCACAGCAGAGCACAGGCATTGCTGCACCTAGATCCCCCCCCGACCAGTCCAGCCTCTCCTTGACACCCAGCGACAAGTGCTGCTCTGCCCTCTCCCCTGGCGGAGACCCCCTCTCCTGACCATCTCTGCTCCCCTGTCTCATCGAAAGGTGGGGGCCTTGAGTGAGGCGTCCCCACCCCTCCACACCCCACTTCACTGTGCTGCTTCCAGGTGCTGGGGGGCTGGAGCAGGGACCCCTCCTTCCCGTGCCACCCACATGCTGCAACCAGAGCTCTGTGCCGGCACACGCTGGGGCCAGACGGCTGCTTGCAGCATCCTCCCCCTCCCCATTCCCATGGACTCCAGAGGGGTGTGCCCTGCCCTATCTGGGGTGCAGAGCCCCAGGGCTCCCCATGCCCCACGGCTGGGGCTGGGCATGGAAGCTGTGTCCCGTGCAAGGCCCTGCTCAGGGAGGGACTGGGGGCAGCTCCTCTGAGAGGGTTTAAACCCTCCCATCTCCTTCAGGAAGAGGAAGAGGAAGATGATGACCTGGACGAAGCATTTCCCAGGTAGGTGCTGCCCCACTACAGTGACTGGCAGCGGAGCCAGCCTGAGCCCAGCTCTGGAGCCAGGAGGCCAAAACCTCAGTAGCTTCCCCCACTGCCATGGAGGCATCCTGGGGCCCTGACCGCAGTCTGTGCCAGGGCCGCTGCTGAACATCGGGCGCACCGTGCTCCTGGGTGCGGGGAGCAGGACTGTCTCCCTGCCCATGCAGCAAAGGCAGGGGATGCCTGGGGGGCCCCAGCTGCCTGGTGCTGGGAGCCGTGGGTCTTTGAAGCCGTGCCCTGTATTGTCGGGCTCTGCCCATAAAGCACTCCCTGGCCACAGTCATGGGCTGGCCTGGCCACAGCTGTCCAGGGGGGCTGGTGCCTGGTGCTCCCCTGTTGCAGGGTCGACGCATGCTCTCTTTGTTCCCAGCTGCACAGAGGAGGGCGCCCCAGGGCTGGCAGGTAAACGGCCTTCGTCCCCCGCCTTGTCCTGCCCTACCGGCACATGCCCCCCGCCACAGCGGGGGCCAGTGTCACAGCACGGCCTGGGGAAAGGCCTCTCCTGCTGGGAGAGCCCCCCATGCCTCCCCAGCTCCGTGGCCTCCTCCGTCTTCTGTTCCAGGCTCGACGCTGCCAGCGCCGGGAGCAGGGGCCTCGTGCGCCACGCAGCTGGCAATGAGCTGGCCCCGCCTGGGCCGCCCCCCAGATGGCAGAGCCAGGCGGGAGGCGGGTGCTGGAGCCCGTGCACCGGAGCGATCCTGCCCTGCGGTGCCCTTGGGCTGACGTGGCTCCGGCAGGCTTCAGCACCACAGTCGCAGACCAAGTGCTCACCTCCACCCTGTGCCTGAGCCCCGGCCCCGCCCCCGCCCCGCCGGACGCTTGCACAAACCCTTGGCTCTGCCCCCAGTAGCCGGACCAAGCTCCCTGCCTCTGTTCCCCGCACTGCTTCTGGCTCCAGCCCGTCCGCTCTGCTCCAGCCGGCCCCAGTCCAGCTCGTCTCGTACGGACCTCAGCTCCGTTCCAGGTACACGGACCAGAAGAGTCCCCGCAGCCCTGCGGGCATGTGGCACTACGGTCTCTGCTCCCCTCCCGCTTTCCGTCGCGGGGGCCGTGCCAGGCTGGGGGCTGCCAGCTGCCCTGTGCAACCTCCCAGCCCCCAGGGAGCTTGCTTAGACCCAAGGGCCCCTGCCCACTGCCCCCCAGCCCCTGCCAGGCTGGTCCTGACCCCGTGGCCAGGTGAGCTGCTGCCTGCCAGGGCTCTGTGCTTGGGCTTTGGCCTCCACACCAGGCTGGCTGGCAAATGGCAGCAAGCCCTGCCCCACACCTGCTCCATGCCCTGGGGTGCTCTGTGGCAGGTCAGTGGGGTGCATGGTGCTGGACACAGCTGCCAGCCTGGGTCCCTGGCCCTTGCAGCCTGGAGCTGGCGTTGGAGGTGTGCTGGAAGGGGGTGAGCTCTGCTCTTGTCCCCTGGGGCATTCCCTCTGAGCTTTGGCCCACGGGAAGCGCCACTGGGCAGCAACCACTTGTGTGCAACAACAGGAGGGGGTGGCTGCTCTGGGACCCCTCACTGAGCACGTGGGATCCTGCACTGTGGGGCTAGGCCCCCGCTCTGCTGCTCCGTGCCCTCAGGGCAGAGGCCGCAACCAGCTGATTGTTGAGGCCTCAGCTTTGTAGAGTTCAATAAACCCTTTTTCTACTGTTGTAAGCTGGGCTGGGTGGCCAGGCTCTGCGCCACGGGCACCCCGAGGCCGGGATGGGGCTGCCTGCACCCATGGCAGACCCTGCATTGCGCAAGCAAGGCAGCTGCAATGTTCCTGCAAGTGGTGCCAGGGCTCCAGAAGTGGCAGGACGGCCCGTCTGCCCCTCCCCTTGCCCCTTTGCCCCAGGTGAGGACGGCCCTCCCCTTCCTCACACACAGGCAGGGCCAGCTGGGTTGTGGGCCGTGGCCACCAGGCCTGGGCAGGCTCCTTCCCCTCCCAGCAGGTCATCTTGCTCCTGGCCCCATCTCAGCCCCATCTCAGCCCCATGCTGCCATGGGACACAGCTCCCAGCCGCCACGGAGCCTGTCCTGCCCTGCCTCAGACCACACACTTTTATTGAAAAGCCCCCGCCACGGGCACCGCTGGCCCTGCCCCCTGCCCCTTCCCGCGGAGGAGGCCAAGTCCGGAAAGTGCTGTGCGCAAAGGCTTGATCCTGGAAGACGCTGTGATGCTGAGTCCTGGGGAGGGAGCCGTGGGCCCGCTCTGGGTTGTGCGTCCGGGGCAGGAGCCAGGCCGCCGGTACCTCCGTGCTGTCCTGGTTGCAGGGGTTTGGCTCGTGCCCTGGGCTGGCCCCAGGGTTGCAGTCCTGCTGGGGCAGCGTGGGGCCACCGGCTGGCTCTGCTCGGCTCCATCCAGGGAAGGGGGGGCTCAACCAGCAAAGCCCAGCACCTGGGCCCACCCTTGTCCCCCTGCCCATAGGCACCCCCTGTAACCCTCAGTCCCCTGGCCTGGCCTTGGTTGCATGGAGGGGAGCAGCCTTACAAACCCCGGTGACCCTTGCAAGCCCCCCAAACCCTGCACTGACCTGGTCTCACTGCAGCCAGTCCTGACCTGGGCCCCCACACCCAGCTTGCATGCGCCACCACGGCTGGGACCCTAGGCTCAGGGAAACCCCCGTGGGGAGATCAAGAGCCAAAGCTGCCTGCGGCCAGGAGCCTGGGCTGGAGCCAGTGGAGGGAGGCACTGGTGGTCTCTCCCCAAGGGGCCACGAGCCCTCGTCCCTTCCCCTGCGTGGCTGCAGCCGGGGGCTCGTAGGCGATGCAGTCCTGTGCTGCTGGTGCCGCCCGCGTGCTGCGTGCACCGCTCCATCCCATCTCCACACCCGGAGGAGTGTGTCCTGACCCTGCGAGCATCCTCTGCTCTGGCTGGACCGGTCCAGCACTGGCCCTGTGCTCACACTTCGATGATATTGACCGACGGGGACTTTTTCTGCCAGAAAGAAGGGGGCGTTGAAGCTGGCACTCGCCCTGGTGCAAGGGGCTGGCTCCTGCAGCCTGGCACACGCTGAGGAGCACTGAGCACCACGCTCCCCTGCAGCCGCAGCACCTGCAGGCCCGGTAGCCTGGGTCCACCTGAGAAACCCACCTCCCCCAAGCAGCAGAAGCAGTGGGCAGAGCCTGGCACAACAGCCCCCACCCTATGCAGGACCCAGGGTGCAGCCTAGGTTTGGAGACCCCATGGCAAGGCCCCTGCACAGGGGGCGAGGCACAGCCAGCCAGACCTGGGCACAGTCAGCTCTCCAGCCAGCTCGGGGGGGGCGTCATGGGGGTCCTGTTCCATGAGACACAGATGGTCATTGGGTCTGTGAGCGGCATCTTGTCCATGGCCACGCAGGCAGCAGGACTCTGCCCTCCCCTCCACTCCCCTGGGGCCGAGGTGGCAAAGGGATGGATCCTCAACCCTGTGCAAACCGGACCGGGACCAGCCCCCAGCAGCACACGTGGCCCCACAGCTGGGGCAGCAAAGCAGGGTCCCCAGCACGTGTCACCATGCACCAGGCCTCTTAGCATCTGGTCCCTCCGCCTGGCTGGTCCCCGCAGCCTGGCCCCCAGCCGTGCACGTGCACCCACCTTGCTGCGCAGGAGCCCCCCTGTGGGCCGCTCGGGCGTGCTGTGCTCCGACGACGGCTTCGCCTTCTCCTTGGCATTGTTGGAGTCGTTGTCCTTGATGATGTCGTACTGCCGGCAGAACAGTGCAATCACCGCTGCCGCGACACAGGGGGGTCAGGGGGCTCAGTCACACCCCCCTGCCCCTGCCCTCCACTGCAGGCTGTGCTGCCAGGGGCCCTCTGGACACCCCTCAGCCCCCATCAGCAAAGCCCAGGGAGGGCTGCGACCATGGGGCCAAGGCCCCCCTGCTGTCCAGGGGCCCAGCGTGTTGCAGCCAGCCCCGGGGGCTCCTGTAGTCTGCCCCATGCCCCCTCCCCAGGCTGCAGTGGTACCTGAGCACCCGCAGCCCCGCAGCATAGCCGGGACCCGCCACACACACCTGCCCACATGAGCAGCACAGCCACGATGATGACGATCTCGCCTGTCTGCAGCTGCCGCTCCTTGTCCAGCCCCTCCACCGTGATGTCGCCTGTGGGCGTGCACACCCCGGTCAGCCACCAGCCACCCCCTGCTCTGCTTGGGGCCAGCGTGGGGGGGGGATGGGGACTGAGCCCTGACCTTCCCCATGGGGGACAGAGGCCAGGGGGGCAACTGGCCCTTGGGACACGGGGCTGCAGGCCCTTTGCTGTGGCTTCAGGCTGCCCGGTGATGATGATGGTGATGGCAGGGGCTGCCCAGCATGGGGAACTGGGGTTGGGTCTTGCTGGACTGGGGATGGTGCCATATTACTCTGCAAAGCTGCGGGGCACTGGCCCCCCCCTCAGCTCCAATGCAGCGCCAGTCCCGGATGGGCTTGCAGCCTCCCTCTGCAGGGACATGGCGCAGCGCGGGCACAGGCCTGGGGGCAGCTGCTACCGGCTGCCACATCCTCACTCCCCATCACCGTAGAAGCGCCCAGCGCCAGGCCGGCTGCCCCTCAGCGATGGCGCAGGGCTTACCTTGGTTGGAACTGTTGGAGGGGAGGCGGTCGGTCTCCTTCAGGGTGCGGAAGTGCACGCGCTTGCTGGCCTGGCTCTCACCATGCAGGCCAATGCTCTGCACCTGGATGACGTAGTCAGCGTCCTCCGCCAGGTCCCACAGCACACAGGCCCGGTTCGTGGTGTTCACCTCCCGGATGAACCGCTGCATCTGCCCATCCTGCCGCTGTGGGGACCAGCCCCCGTCAGCCTGGCCAGGGCCCCCCCACAGCCCCACAGGGCCCCGAGGGGGCAAAAGCCCATGCAACTGAGAGCATGGTGCCCCTGTGGGCTTCTTGCCCAGGCCCCCAGGCCTCATGGGGCTGCTCAGGCTCCCCTGGATGCTCAGGCACCATCCCCAAAGAGGCTCAGTGCCTTGCTCAGAGCCCAGCCTAAAGCAGACCCCAGGGGTGGATCTGGGGGTGCAGTGGTTGCACCCCGCAATCCCTTCTCCACCCACACTTCACCTCCAACTGCAGTAGCATTTCTATCCAGGCAGCGCTGAGGGAGTCCATTGCCTTCATGGCTCCTGGTCAGCTCCCTGATTCCTGCTAATTTCTCTTCACCCCCCAGGTGTGAACAACCCGCTCCTTTGTGCAGGTCTTGATGATCCACCGTTCAAACTCCCCTTTCTCTGCAACGCTGGTCACCACTCCTAGTCACCTCTGTCTCCTATTGCACTGCCCTGCACACTGCTGGAAGCTCGAGCTATAGACCGGGACTCGGTGGGGGGGTCATATGAGCTCGGGGTAGAAATGACCAACAGGGAATTACTGGAGGCCCTGTCAAGATGCTCAAGAAGGCTCGATGTTGTTTGAAGACAGAGACACACATCTAACTATGGTGACTGCAGAACTAAGGATACAATCTCCTTTGACCTTCCTGTGCCTAGTTTCTTGTGTTTTCTTAAAACTAAATGTACTCTAGCAAATCAGTGCACATGCCAATAGGATCATAGGCAATGAGGGCTGGAAGGGAGGTCGCAACTAGTCTGACTCCCTGCTCCAAGCAGGAGCAGCCCCAACTACATCATCCCAGCCAAGGCTTGTCTAGCCAGGTCTTCAACACCTCTGAGGATGGAGACTCACCATCTCTCTGGGCAACCTGTTCCTGTGCTTTACTACTCTCCTCATGAGAAAGTTTTTCCTAATATCTAACCTCAGTTTCATAGTTTCATAGTTTCTAGGGTCAGAAGGGACCTGAGTAGATCATCTAGTCCGACCCCCTGCCATGGCAGGAAAGAGTACTGGGGTCAAACGACCCCAGCAAGGTGTTCATCTAACCTCATCTTAAAAACCCCCAGGGTAGGAGCCTGCACCACCTCTCTTGGAAGTTGGTTCCAGACCCTAGCCGCCCTGACCGTGAAATAGCGCCTCCTGATGTCTAACCTAAACCTACCCTCTGCCAGCTTGTGACCGTTATTCCTGGTCACTCCTGGCAGTGCTCGGGGGAACAGGGACTCCCCCAATGCCTGCTGATCCCCCCTGACTAGTTTATAACAGGCCACAAGATCCCCCCTCAGCCTTCTCTTTTGGAGGCTGAACAGGTTCAGGTCCCGTAGCCTCTCCTCATAGGGCCTGCCCTGCTGTCCCCTGATCATGCGAGTGGCCCTCCTCTGGACCCTCTCCATGCTGTCCACATCCCTCTTGAAGTGCGGCGCCCAGAACTGGACGCAGTACTCCAACTGCGGCCTGACCAGTGCCGCATAGAGGGGGAGGATCACCTCTTTTGACCTGCTTGAAATGCATCTGTGGATGCATGACAAGGTACGGTTGGCCTTCCTAACTGCCTCCCCACACTGCCGACCCATGTTCATCTTGGAGTCAATGATGACTCCAAGATCCTTTTCCGCCTCCGTGCTGACAAGAGGGGAGTTCCCCAACCTGTAGGTATGGTGCCGGTTGTTCCTCCCCAGGTGCATCACCTTGCACTTGTCTGTGTTGAAACCCATCCTATTCTCATCCGCCCACCCTTGTAACCTGTCTAGGTCAGATTGTAGCCTGTTGCTTCCTTCTAGTGTGCCCACGTCCCCCCACATCTTAGTGTCATCAGCAAATTTGAACAGGGTGCTTTTTACCCCCTCGTCCAAATCACTGATGAAGATGTTGAACAGTGCGGGCCCGAGGACCGAGCCCTGCGGAACCCCACTGCCCACGTCCTTCCAGGTTGAGAAGGACCCATCCACTACCACCCTCTGGGTGCGGCCCTCCAGCCAGTTGGCGACCCATTTGACTGTGTGGGTGTCTACACCACAGCCCCCCAGTTTCTTAATGAGAACGGGGTGAGAGACAGTGTCAAAAGCCTTCCGGAAGTCCAGGAAGACGATGTCCACTGCTACCCCTGCATCTAATGATCTGGTGATCTGATCGTAAAAGGCCACCAGGTTGGTCTGACAGGACCTGCCACTGATGAACCCGTGTTGGTTGCCCCTAAGCATGCAGTCCCCTGCTGGCCCCTCCTGGATGTGTGCCAGAATAATTTTCTCGAACAGCTTGCCTAGGATCGAGGTAAGACTAACTGGCCTACAGTTTCCCGGGTCCTCCTTCCTCCCTTTTTTGAAGATGGGAACCACGTTGGCCCTCTTCCAGTCCACCGGTACCTCTCCAGAGCACCATGAGTGCTCGTACAGCCGTGCCAGGGGTCCTGCAATGAGCTCAGCCAGTTCCTTTAGGACTCTAGGGTGAAGATCATCCGGACCAGCTGACTTGAATACGTCCAGCCTCTCCAGAAGCTCCCTAACTAAATCCTCGCTAACCCTTGGCCCAGGTGTGCCTCCCCTGGGGCCCGAGGGGGGCCCAGCAGGGAGGTGGCTGTTCTGGTCCCTACTTGCTGCTACTTGAGACCATTGCAATAGTGATACTGGTTAGTGCTTGAACTGACTAAGATAGTGCAGCCCCCGTCCCCCCAAACATATGAGTAAAGCTTTTGGTTTCTCTTTAGCTGGAGGAAAGTGTGTTGTGCTCCATGTGAGGACACACCTGCACCTCCCTATTCAAAATCCTGGATCTGCCCACGGCAGGCCTGTCCTGGGCTGTGGGTGGAGTGGGTGTCCCTGGGGCCCGGGGCAGAAGCAGCTGGGGCTACGGTAGTGACACGGGGCACATAGGGCTGAGCAAAGGCTCTGAGGGATGAGGCTGAGCAGGGTCTGCCCAAGCAGGCACCTCTGGGAACTGTGGCCAGACGGGCTCCCGGGCTGTTTTCAGCCCAGGTGCAAGCGTACCTGCTGCAGGATGGCATAGCCGATGATGATGTCTCCCTCCGGGACGTCCCACGAGACGGTGGCAGAGTTGGCCTTCAGCTGCGTCACGGTCACATTGACGGGGGACGGGGGATGGTCTGTGCACGCGATGGGGGAAGAGACAAGACAAAGAGGTCATTCCACTGCCCCCAGATCCAGCCGCCCCCCCCGGGCAGCTAGCAAAGGCAGAGGCAGCGCAGCCCCGTGGCCAAGGCCGGGCTCCCCCAGGGCCAGGGCACGAGGCCCCACATGGTCCTAGGGCCCCTCGGGCCCAGATGGGCTCTCTGTTCCCCCAGGGATGCAGCTTTTTCGGAGATGGGCTGGAGGGCTCCAGCAGGACAAGGGGTCCCAGCACCCCTCATCTGAGTATCCCCAACAGGCTGGTGCAGGGACTGCCGTGGCCTGCAAGCACATCTCTGCCCATGCTGCCCGCACTGCACTGGGCCAGCCAAGCTGTCTCCTTTTGGGCTGCCTGGGTTCGGGTTCGGGTTAGGAGCAGACAGGAGCCGGCATGCTTTCATGTTTCCCTGCCTCACTTTCCCTGCTGTGACCTTGAAATTGTGTGACATGCTGGGAGGGAATGGGTTAACTTCCCTCTGGACCAGGGCAGGGGGAGTCCTGGTTTCCCCAGGTCCTGGGTCTGGGCCAGTGTGAAAAGGGCCATGGGGGTAATTAGGGATAATAAGGAACACCTGAGGGGCAAACAGGCAAGCCCCCAGGCTGGAGACGGCACAAGGTCTGGTGCCGGGACTGAGGGTCATAGAAACACAGAGTGCCAGAGCTGCGGGGACCTGTGGGGGCACTTCCAGTCCAAGCCCTGCCTGAGGCAGGACCAGCCCCATCCAAACCAGCCCAGACAAACCCCATGTTCGACCTTGGAGCCGCACGACACCGTCATCCTAACACAGCGCCAGGCATCGCCCCCGCCCTCGCCCCCGCCCCTGGGATACAGGGGGGCTGCTGCTGCCGGGGGGGTCAAGGATGCTGCAGAGACCCCAGGGTGAGGTTGTGCCCCTGCTGCAGGGGGAGGCAAAACCCCCCAGTGAAGACCAGTCTGAGCAGGGGGAAGTCCCCTCCTACCCCCAGTGCAGCGCGGGGCTGAGCCCGAGCGCAGGGGCAAGACCCTCCCACCGGGACCCCGTGGGGTTGGTGCCATGGGAACGTGGAGGCGGTCGGAAAGTGCGGACTCTCCATCACTGGAGGTGTCAAGGAGGGGGTGGACAGCCACAGGGCAGTGACGATCAAGGCCCAGCGATGCCTGCGCTCACTGCGGACATTTCCCAGGCTCTGGGGCTCCCCTGGTTGCCCCTTGCCCCTTTCTGCTCCATGTGTCAGGGGGCTTTTCCCCCTCCCCCAGAGGTGCTGGGGCTGGGCTGGGCCAGTGCTCCTGCTGCACCGACCGCCCTGCTCAGACTGGGTGCACTGGGGGGCTTTGCCTCCCTCTGCAGCGGGGCACGGCCTGGGCCTGGACTCTGCAGCGTCTGTTGACATTTCATAGAAGCAGGACACTGCTGCCATGGCTCCCTGTGCCCGGTTCGGTTACGAGGTCTGTATCGTGTCAGGGTCGATGGTCGTCTTATGACCAGCTTACACGATGGTTTGCCCGGGCTGGCTTGGACAGGGCTGATCCTGCCTCAGGCAAGGCTTGCACTAGCTGTGATCTCTGGAGCTCCCTGCCCGCCCCACGGCTCTGGGACTCGGTGCAATTCAAGCCTGGACTGCATCAACCCCCGCCAGGCAGAGGGACGGGAATCTGGCGCTTGCTTCAACCAGGAGGACAGATTCTGAGGGGCCGGAGACCCCCCCGCGCCACAGTGAGCATGTCTGCTCTCCACTGGATGTCGCTGCCCTGGCCCACGCCTGATTGCTAATATCCCGATACACCGGCATGTGGTTTGGAGGAACTCGCTTTGGCTTCTCTTGTACTTCTCCGGATAAAATAAAAGACCCCAGCGTCATGCTGCGTGTAACGCAATGCACCAGGTAGCCCCGTGGCTGGCTGGTCTTAGCTGCTAGCATCTGGGCTGGTTTGTAGGCAATAAACCCGGCTGAGCCCTTGTGACTAAGACCTGCAGCCCGTGCTCTCTCGTAACAATGAGGTCGTGAAGGGCACCGGGTCCCAAGAGCACTCGCAGACCACCCCGAGGGAGCCGATGTGCCTGTAGCATTGCCCCTGAACAAGGGGAAGGTGACAACGTGGACCATGCCGTGGGATGACACCAGTACCTCCCTGGAGACCCACAGACCTGAGAGCCAGGGGACATCCCAGCTGCTGCTCAGCCCTCCTGGGCAATCCCTCCTCTGCACAGGACAGAGCCCAGCACCCTGCCCAACTGCCCCCCCCGGGGTAAGCACAGGGTCGATGCCCTGGGGACAGGGACCGACTCCCAGCCCCACCAGAGAGGCAGCGTGCATCTGTGCCACGGCAGGCGCCAGGGACAGCGTCGGCTCTCGGGCCCTGCAGACGCTGTTGCCAAGCTATTAATGTGCTGGGAGGTCGACGGCAAGGCAGGAGCTGCCTGACAGCCTCCCTGCGCCCCGCGCCACAGATGGGGTGTCCTCCCGGCTCCCGTGCACGCGCCGTCCAGAGCCAGCCGAAGCCGCGGGGTTTGGGGGCACCGTCTCACCAAAACCCCCGGGCCGGTGCAGGGGGAGGCAGCCAGCACAGCCCCGCTGCACCCCGATGGCCAGAGCTGCTGCAGGGAGCCACCGGGACCTGGGCGCTGCCCTTGCAGCCTGCGGCTTCCCCTGCCCTGACCGGGACGGAGGCACAGACTTGCACCAAGGGGCCCAGGGAGATCAGAGGACCAGAGCTGCAGCACAGCCCGGGTGCCGGGGCCTCCACAGCTCACCCACCTGCCTGCCCAAGGCAGGATCGGCCCTGCTCAAACCCTCCTAGACACGTCCTGCCTGCCCTGTTCCTGGCACCACACCCCAGCCCCGTGCACAGAGGCCCTGCCCCAGGGGATGAGAGGCAGTGCCCTGCTGCTGCCAGGGGGCTTCGATACACTGAGACCCCAGGCCGCAGCCATGCCCCACTGCAGAGGAAGGCAAAACCCCCCAGTGTGCACCAGTCTGAGCAGGGGGGAAATCCCTTGCTGCCCCAGTGCAGCGCGGGGCTGAGCCTGAGCGCGGGGACGAGACCCTCCCACCAGGACCCTGCGGGGCTGGTACCGGCAGAAGCACTGGCCCAGCCCAGCCCCATCCCCATTCCCCACAATGTGGGGAAGAAATGACACCCAGCGGGAAGAGGCAGCTCTGCCAGTGTGCGAGGGGCCCAGCTGTGCCTGGACACAGCCAAGTCCAAGGCCAAGAAGAACAAACGCAGGTCAAGCAGCTGCAGATGGCAACTGGTTGGCAAAGCAGCGTCTCTGAGGCCACGGGGTCCGGGTCAGGCACAGGCTCCCCGACTGCTGCAGCGACTGGAGCAGGCACAGCCGTCGGTGCCCGCACGGGCACAGGGAGGGCCTAGCAGTGCTGGCCGCATTAGCCCCCCCCTGCAGAGCAGGGACATGGGCAGCCTGCCTGGCCGCAGGGCAGCAACCGCAGGGGCAGTCGGAGGTGCAAGAGAAGGGAGCTCCGGGCCACAGACCCCCAGTCCCCAAAACCCCCAGGCAAGAGGACGGGCTCCCAAATGGGGCAGGAGGATGAACCGCCTGGGAGTCCGGCCCCGTGGGGAGTGCACCGCATGGGCTGCGCTGGGCTGGGTGGGCTAACAAGGCAGCTCCGTGGACTGGCGCAGCTACGGGGGCGATGGAGACTCCTGGGGTCAGAGGGCAGCTTGGGGTCGCGACAGCTGGTGTCAAGCAGCCCAGCTCCCGCCAGCACGGTGTAGACCCAGGAGCCAGCCCGGCCTGGGCCCACTGGGGCCGTCGGCGGCCCTGGCAGCACGTCCCGCCTGGGTGCCGCAGGCAGGAGCGGGCAGAGGAGGCCTCCCTGTGCCCCGCGGCTGGGGCGGGAGAGGGCAGAGGGGCCTGCCCAGGGTGCCCGTCTTAGACTGAAGCAGAGAGCGTGCGCGTAGCATGCGCGTGGCCAGGCCTCCTGCCTCAGGGCCCACCCGCGCCCTCGGGCCCAGCGGAGCCGGGGAGCGGAGCAGAGCGGAGCATCGCCTCGCAGCCCTGCAGCTTCCTGCAGGCCGGCGGGAGGGAGCGGTCTGCCCGGCCCCGGCCCCCGGCCGAAGGGGGCTGGAGACCCCAGGGCAGGGGGAGTCCGCGGCCAGAGCAGGCTGCCGTGCTGGAGGCGCCGGAGGCCGCAGCCTGCTCTGCGGAGCCGGGCTCCGCGCGGGGCTGGCACGGGGCTCTGCGAGGCAGCAGGCCAGGCCGGG